AGTTCTGCCACATCAACACGTTTCACAGCACCACAAAGACTGCTAAAGACACATATATGATTACTGGAGTTTAAAAAGTGACTCACCAAATGGTTGGTGGTTCAGATCCCTCCACTTCCAGGTAGTCGTACTTCTCCTCCGTCTGGAAGTCTGTAAAGATGAGAGAGATGGTGTCTCCAGGTTCGGCCAAAAGGATCCAAGTACAGTCGGCCTGGTTACCATAGTTGCCGGGGTAACCGGGACTGGTCACCACCCCACTGCCGCCCCTCACAGTGCCCCCACATGTGTCCTCAGCTGTCAATCAAATCAGAATGACAAATAGAAAACCTGGGTTAGGGAGAGGAGGAGGGACCGAGGGGCGGACTTTAAAAAAATTAAATTTCTTTGTTTTTGGATAAATGTTTTTGATTTTCACAGCCATATGAGATGGGGTGGATCCATTAACAATAATATCGATATGATGTTTTTACCAAATTAGCAATTGAAATCCAATTCTCAATAGACCTAACATTATTTATGAACGCTTTGAGTAGATTACAGGTCAGACAGCCAATCCCCACCGCTCTCCCAGGTTTTTTTCTAAGATACAATATTTTAGTATATTACATAAACTCTTTGCTCTCCACTGCTAATGTTATTTTGTGGCCTAATTGTTAGAAAATAGATGACTGTCTCATGAAACTGTCAAGTCATGTTAGCGACCCACATTGTGAAATGTGGAGCTCTTACGTCACACTTCAATATGAAGTGTGAAAATAGCCAATGCTTGGTAAGATTCAAACAGTCGTTATTTTGTGGACAATCAGTTCTCTGCCATGAAGCCGGTAGATTTTAGAAAGTTTCTCTGTTTTATTTTATCCAGTTAGAATCAGGGTCGAGTCCAGAGGTTAGGCTGCAGTTCCTGTCACCCTCAGATATGCTGTCCTCTCCTCCAATAACAAGTTACGTTTTTTTCTCCAATCACAGTTCTCCGCTCTCGTCTCCTCCAATCGCCACCAAGGAACTTTAGATTCAACTATTTCCCAGTTGGCTGGTATAATGTTGGGGTATTAATGGATCAATTAGTTCAATCAATTTGTTTCAAATGATATTGACCAGATAGATTTTCCCAACTTTCTGAAATTGTTGATTTCATCTGATGGATAGTATTTTTCAGAATTGATAGTGCTGATTACTGTATAACAGATAAAGACACATGGATTGCGCTGTGCACACGGCATAAATTATACACATATAATTTATACAAATACACCCACTTAGAGAAAAAAATACAACATTGGACATTTTGCCACTGGGACATTTGCTGTGGGGCAAATATTAAATAGGGCTCAATTCACTTCACAACACATCCTTTAAAAACAGAGGATGCCTGTTCTCATCAAAAGTTAATTGAGCCCAGCCAAGGATCCACTGCCCCAGTGATAAAAGACACAATGTTGAACATGTTTTCTCTGAGAGTGTAAAAGTTCAACTGGAAACATAGTATAAATTATACAGGTATAATTTATAGTTATACATAAAAGAGGCAACACTGTATGTTACACACTCTTAGAGCAAACCTGTATTTTCCTACTTACTGTACCAGTGAGTGCAATTTGGGATGACAAGTGATTTATAATGCTCTGCCACACATCACATGTTGATATCATCGGTATTTAGAGAAGACAGAGAACCACCACGTGTGTGTTGTCCTTAAACTGCACTCACTGATAAGGTGAAAAAGACACATCCTTTATAAGAGCGTAGACAGGTTGCTGTCAGGTATACATGCACATCCTCACCCAGGCGGGTTTTGGGAATGCATGTACAGATGACAGAGATAAGGGGGGGACCATGCCAGACTCCACCCAAAGTCTGTGGTCCAAGACTCACATCAAGCAACATACAATTACCAAAACAAATAAATGGTAAACACATTAGAAAATATATAAAAAATCAGACGGAACAGAGTGCACTGAGTAGAGACAGGAAATACATAGAGGATAAACAGGGTGAACATAAATAGGAACAAACAGGGACACACAGAACTACAGTGAAACAAATAATATAAAACCAGATTGAAATAGGCACAGGTTTGGTATAAACTGGTACATTAAACGGAATGAAACAAAATAATTGGTTTGAAATCACTTTTACGAAAGACCAAGAGTCTTTTTTCAATAGATCAGAGCATGGCGTTAGGAACAAAACATGCCTTTCATTTATTTCAATCCGAGCATGAATGATGCTCGAGTCAACATGTGTTGACAAGGACTGGTGACAAGACGTGCATTGTGCCAAACAACAGGTGCTGATGTAATGAAAGGCATTGTTTATTCAGCAACAAAATAATTCATTCATTCAAAAAGGATCGTAAAGGCATATGAGTGAGTTCGACAGGCAGGCAGGCAGGCAGGCGCTCACAGAGAGACCCTTCAGTTATCCAGAGAGACATTCATTCCCCAGCTAGACAGTTAAGGATATGTGTGTAAATGACCCGACATCCTGAACCAAGCCCTGCTGAGACCCCATCACAGTCACAGGAGAGAAATGATACAGTGGTGTGTGTGTGTGTGTGTGTGTGTGTGTGTGTGTGTGTGTGTGTGTGTGTGTGTGTGTGTGTGTGTGTGTGTGTGTGTGTGTGTGTGTGTGTGTGTGTGTGTGTGTGTGTGTGTGTGTGTGTGTGTGTGTGTGTGTGTGTGTGTGATCGCAGCATGGGAGAGAGGGCTGCTTGCAGGATGACAGCTGTCACAGGTATATCATGACAACAGGATGTACACATACCGGTGTACACACACACACACACACACACACACACACACACACACACACACACACACACACACACACACACACACACACACACACACACACACACACACACACACACACACACACACCTCTTCCAGGCCTCCAGTTAATTGATGAGCTAGTGACACTTGACTGACAGGTGGAACGACCTCAAGGCGAACTGACGTGTGGCTCTTATTAAAGGAGAGGAAATGCACTTGTGAAATAAGGAATTACTGACTGTAAGAAGCGCTCTTATGTGCAGTGGACCTTTGGAGGGCTTGACATTATGATGTTGTGGCATTAAGAGTTTCCATCCATGATGTTCTCTGATTTTGTCTCACTAAAAACATTCATTAAATGTGACCTATGGCAAACAACTATTTTTTATCATTACTTTAAAATAAACCGACTTCAATACTGATGTGGAGAAAAACCTGAAAGCCATGTGCGGACTCCATGTGATAATTTGTGATGACACATGATGCAATTAGGATCCTCACTTATTCTGTTGTGTGTCATCTTGGAATGCAAGGGCTGTGCAGAGACCGCTTCAGGAGCATCTGCTCTAATAAAAAGTGACATTTGCTGGGTGTTCGCAGGGGGAGGGGGGAGAAGTTCCCATACCTATAGCCAACCCTGATTACCTTCTGCTAAATGTGTGTGAATCAGACATGACATGGAACCAGTCAACTCTGCATGTTGCACCTGCTGATGCTGGATATCGCTCGCTCCTGCTCCATCAATCATAACTGCACATCTGCGTGACACTGTTAAACATTACTGTCTAGATCACATCATTTCCTGGGAGCGTAATCTCCATTTTTTTATGTTTACTGCAGGAGTTATATGTTGTTTCCTTTTCAGTAATATTACAAACATAATGTCACTTAAACATAATGTAATGGATTAATTATCTACATTTTGGAAAACTATATCCTTTGAATTGATTGAAGGAATTGATTTTCATTAAATACAAGTCTGATCAGCTCATAGTTGACATTTTTAAATCCTATAAGCATTAACATAATTTGTGGGTGACTACGGAGCACTGGGGTCAATGAAGCATAGCCAATGTATGAATGAACTTTGGCATCAAAGTGAGACGCAACATGAATGACATGTCTTATCAAATCAACACAAGATGATTGATAATGAAGTGGCTGACATTTGGTGAATAACCCTGTTCAGTCAGGGTTGAATTTATAGATTAGTGCCTTGCCTATATTCAAAATACTGGAATATGGATTTGGGTAATGTATTCCAGAAAAGCACATTTTTTATTAGTAAATCAATCCACAGTAAATAGATGTATCTTTAAATATTAATCTCTGCACCTCACTTTGGGTTAGTTTTTAAGATTGAAATTGATATTCATCTTAATTAAAATGATTTCTTGCGATTTCAACGCAACAGCGACAAACGCCATGTCACCTTGTCTGAACCACTTACAGTAATAGGGGTTTAATGTATTACAGTATATGAGAAAAATACTAGAACATTAGATACATGACTAAAAAGGGTTCATCTATAGTACAGTAAGTACAGTAAGGGCCCTGCTGTGTGGATACACTGTATGCATCCTGCTCTTATTTAAACCTTGGGAGGCTTGACTCACGCTCATGCCCCAGTGCACTGACCCACAGGAGGAGGAGAGTGTGTGTGTGTGTGTGTGTGTGTGTGTGTGTGTGTGTGTGTGTGTGTGTGTGTGTGTGTGTGTGTGTGTGTGTGTCAGCTACGAGTAGTCAAAGGGGAGAATGGGCTGCAGCTAAGTGAGCGGGTAGAAATGAGATCATCTGTTTTGAATCAGCTGAATGCTACTTAACACAACAAAAATGAAGCTTATGATTGGAGAAAGCGACCCTGATCTCAATGGGATTAAAACACTAGAATATCCGCTACATGACTTTCTATAAATTATTTTTTCACTCTTGGAATTCCTCTCTTTAATCATTTATTGCCAATAAAGGTTGACAGGATTATTGAAAGGGGGATATTAATTAAACTAATTAAATTCAAGCTTATTATGCTGCTGTAATTGTGCTACGACTCGGCTATTAAGAGCATCAGCTCTAAAAATGCTTTCAAATGTAACATGCAAATGATTGTGAGGAATTAATTGAGCATTAGCGGCGAGTGTTTGTAAAAAGAAACCTGCAAAAGGAAACTGGAGGAGAAAAATCACTGGGTTCCTGACTTCCTGTCAGAATGAAGCAATGTTTATTCAGCACTTAGAAAGCATTACACAAATAAATACAAGGACGTTTTCACAGTATAGAACACAGTACACTATTAAACATTATATTAATAACCATTTGATGAACTAATAAATATCAGGCACTCTCAAACGTAGGTATTCACCTTGGCAACAAGCGTCGGGCTGAATAAGAGAGTGTGAAAACAGGATGGAGGATGGAGGAGAGCAATCCAGTCTCCTACCGTTGCCCCCGGATACGGATAGAGTGAAAGCAAGAACTGGGAGCAGGAAAGAGCTGCAGCTGCCTGGTTTCCATAGCGATGTGGGTGCAGGACAAGCAAAAAAGATTAGGAGAGAGACGAAGAGAGGCAGGCAAATGTAACAAGAGGGGCAGGGAGCAGTGCAAGAAAAGTATATCTTTTTTTGTTTAAGGCAGAGTGGTGATAGAAGCATTAAGGGAGTAAAAAGGAGGTTGGGGGTCTCAAAGAGAAGCAGAGGGAGGGATGATGAGCTCAGACATGGATCCCCACGACTTTCCACTGGAGACTGCCACCTTCAGGGGGACCTGGAAAACAAACACACACACACTCTAAATATAAGACATGGGAAAGGTGCCAGTGTGTCGATGTACACGTGCAGATGTCGGTCACAGTGACCTACATTGATTTAGACTCACCTAATTATCCTTATGGAAGATCAGCCAATAATACAGAGGCACATTTTTAAATCACGAATGCAAATGAAAGCTATCATTTATAGAAAATCCTATAAGAATGGATTTAAATACAGATGAATTACCCTGTGGCTTCTTGCGTAGTCCACTGATGTTTTATTGTAAAAGCAGTCAGGATTTTTGATGTAATCGGTAGGTTGAAGGACGAGAATATTCCATGTTGTACTTAAGAAAGTTGTGTTTCAATCACCATACTTAAACATTGTCCTCGAAATAGGTACGTGTCCTAATTGCAGTTTATTTTTGATGTGTTATACAGCAAAATAATTAAAAAGACACAATAAATGACACTATAATATCAGTGAATGATTGTAATGTCATGTTCCACTGTCTCACCTTAAGATGGACTCCTAGATGGTCGATGTGCTGCAGGGACTCCATGGTGCTCTTCACCAGACCTGCACACAAAACAACACGTACACACACATGTATAAATGACTTCAACAGTGACCATAGCTGTTGCATTGTGGGTAACGTAGGCACAGAAAGAAGATTTAACCACAAAAAATGCTGCATCAATTGACTTTTAATAACGTGGCGGATTTCTCTTTAAACTGTTACATTGACGTATGTATCTACCAAAACAAGCTTGTATGTCCAAAACAAACCTATATTCCTCACTGTACACCAATTTGGCTTCATATGTGCAGTATTTAACGGTAAGCTACATTTGAAATGTTTGATAAAAGAAGTTATTTATTCACCTGCAAACTGTTCCACCTGGGATTCCTCCACTTCGTACAGAAGCTCATCGTGGAGCTGTGCTACCAGCCTACAGACACAAAGTAAATCAACACAACAATTACTTCAACTAATACAAATAATGAGGCCTCTTCATCAACATACCACCGTGAGGGCTTCAAGTAAGTCCCCTAATTTGCATCCAGCCCATTTCATTCTTGGCTCCAAGTGTGTTTACTCTGGCTCAGTGTTTGGCGTGTAACAGCAGTCACTTGAGCAAACGCTACAAATTAAATTGGCTGGTAAAACAGTGGATGTTGTTTATGTGTTTTGGCGTGAGAGACCCGGTTAGTTGTTCTTCACTAAAATAGGACTTAGCGTATCCAGAACAGTGACTTCAGTGTGAATAGCCAGTGTTTACTTTGTTGCCGTAGTCAAGGCGACATGCTAGATATGACATGTTGGTGACGGCTCGTAATGCAAGCGTCTTCAGTCGGCTTGTTAAGGTGTTAGTACCTGGCGGAGAGCGAGCTGGAAGAGGACACCAGGTTGAAGATTCGGATCATGGCCATCTTACAGAGGTCAGCAGCAGAACCTGCAAAAAAACACATACAAAATATTAAACTCTTATCTGTGGTGAAGGGTTAGTCAGGCAGGTAAACATAAGTGTTCAAACAAGCTGACACCTGTCAATCATCCTACCTTGGACCACAAAGTTGACAGCCTGCCTCTCAGCCTGCATCCGGATACCCCAATCCGGGGAGTTGATGTTAGCGAGGGTCCGCCGACGACCCATGATGGAGAGAACGTAACCTAATCAAAGAAAAATATTTAAAATGTAATAATTCATAGTCATTATTCTGAGCACATTTAATCCAATTGAAATCAAGATGGAGAAACTCCATCGTTGAGGGCTGCTCCTGTCACACAGCGAACCTTCAATTTGTGTTTATTCACATTCAATGTAGCAGCTGCTTCTCCCTCATGATTCACTGTGAGGAGAAATCCCCACTTAACTCTGAAGTAGTGAGCATACTACTGTAAATACAAATGAGAAAATATCACGTAGTTCTGCTCGCCAACACATTTTAGAGATATTTTTCAAATCCACATGTTTCCTACCAGGTTCACCAGAATGCATCCCACTACTTGTTCTTAATTCATGGATGTGTACTTACTTGATTTTCTTTTATCAATGTGTGCTTGCCTCTTTATTTATTATGCGAGTCTCTTGATGTTATTTGTGCTTATATCTACACCGCTTTGGGACCAATAAATGATGGTGATCGACTTAAAGAATAATAAGAAAAAAAAGTGACCTCCAGTTACCTCCTCCACCCAATTGTCCCCCCGTGTTCGAGGGCTGTGTTGCGTATCAAACGAGAAACAAAGAGTTATTCACTAAATATTCTATTAAGTGTGTTTACTAAAAACCTGCTCGGGTAGATGCAAAGAGATTTAAAGAGAACTGCTTCATGAAAAGTCATTTGTTGATGCAGCATTATAGGTGGTAACAACACACACACACACACACACACACACACACACACACACACACACACACACACACACACACACACACACACACACACACACACACACACACACACACAGACTTCAATCACAGGAGACCCAGTGTGCTGTCAACCTCTAAGGATTATGGGCCATCTACATCATCCTCTCCTCTCCCCTCTCTTCAGGCTGTATCCATCCATCCCTCCTGCTCTCTTATCTACATCCACCCACCCATCCATCAGCCCTTGCCCCCCATATGCTGTGAAGCTGAATATATATAGCTGTCTCTATTTCTCCCTCATCACTCCCTCCATACCTTTAACACCTCAGTTTACCTGCCATGAATACATGAAAGGAGAGGGGGAAGAACTGTAAACATGTGCATACAAATGACCCAGCATTTATTTCCAATACATTTCCTGGTCAGAGTAGTTATTGGGCACTCATCCACCTTCCTCTGCCGCTGCAGTGTGCCATGCTGCCTGAATGCACTGAGGATGCCATTTCCCTTGTGGCCTCAATGTGACTTTCACCATACAGTCATGCCAGAATGCACAAGTAAAAGTTATGGATGCATAAATAAGTATCTTATAAACAGATCTATCAGACTTGCAAACTAATATTGCTATCAGCTGCAGTGAATAACATGGAAAAGCTATACATATAACCCATGGAGTGGTTGTTTACTGATCAAAAGACCCCATTGGTAAGGACAACATCATTTGTCAGTGTCAGCAACACATTTTTCGATCCCAAAAAACGATGGTATGGCTAAGGGTTGATACAGTATCTCAGTCAGGGAAAGTTCTTCTTTGTTTGAAAGATCGACATGGTTAAAGTCTGGATCAAAATAAAGTCATGCTTAAAATAAACTATTGTGATCTTGTTTCTTGTTATATTTTGAAATGGTTATTCTCTTTGTGTCTTTCTTTTTTTTTCCACCTTAATAATTGTTCGCCCTACCCTGATTTCCACCTGTGTGTGTTCTCATTGCTTCCCTTCTGTCTGTACCTGCCCTGTCCAGCTGTGTGATACAGTCTATGGTCATCTTACTTGTTGACGGTTTCTACCGTGATTATCTTTGCTGCAGTGGTTCAGCTTCCCAACTTTCCGAAATCTGGAATATTCCTATTGTCATCCTGGTTTGTCTCCTTTTTCTTTTTGTTACTTTCCCTTGTTTTATGTTGCCTGCAATTTTTGTTTTGTGCTTCTTTTGAACCAGATTTAATGTAGTAAGGATTGCCTTCAGTTCTTCATGACTGCCTCCCCTCTTTTGTTCTCGTTTGGGTTCTTCATCCCTTACACTCGTGAAAAGAACTGTCTTTAGAAAACAGGAAATAAAAAGATGTCGCCCGTGTCAAGGTCTAAGGTTTTGTTGGGCCACTGCAGCCTCCTCCCTGTTCAATGGACAACTCATAATTCCAATAGCCCCCGAAGGGCTTTGCTGCTTTGACATTCATTTGTAGTTTTGAGTTTTATGCTGATACGACTTACACTGGGGTTTTCTTCAGAAATACAGTCTCCATGGAGGCATCAGGCATGTGTATTTTAGTGTCCATTCACAACTAGAGAAGTTTGAGATTTTATGGTTTAATGGAATGTTTTGATCACTTTTTTATTTGTCTGCCAACTTAACTTTTAATTTATTTTGTTTGCCTTCACACATGCTTCAGTCCTGAACTGGGTGAAATGGATATCAAACTGTTCTTCCAGGGTAGCATGCACTAGATTAATATAAGAGTTTTCATGTAAAACATTGGACATAATCTAGCTTTTCAGGAGATTATTATTTTGTTGATTTTAAAGTGTGTATGGGAAATGATGAAGCATCAAGAGAACAGTGTTTGCACCATCTGGTCTTCTAAAATTGTCTCATATTCCTTGGCTGCTATTCGACCATGCAGCAGACATGTGGGCGGAAGGCATCCTCCTTTTTGCCAAATGTAAACCCATCTGGATTTGGAATAAGTTATTATATGTGAGATCTTTTTTCACAAGTACAAGTTTTCACCTCTTCACATCTATTTTATTGTTGCAACCCTTTCATAAATACTAGATTTGTGAAGGTTGATATGGAACATTTTTTGACAGGGTCACTTAGATTTTAATTCAATTCAGTGGTTGCTCATAAAGCTGTTTTATTGTCGGGTTTTACATCTATCCTGAGCTATTCAGGTATCAACTGTTGTGTGTCTTACTTGCTTTGCTGCCTCATTTTTCTTTCAAAAACTCATACAAGTGAGGTGTGTCAGACCTAGGGATGGGTATCGTTTGAAATGTATCGATTCCGGTTCTGCTTTTCGATTCTGGTTCTTATCGATTCCCCGTTTCAATTGCAAAATTGTAAAAGAAAGAGGCCAAACGTTTAGATAACAAAAATATCTTAATTCTTTTAAGCTTTAACTGACATTTTTACTAATAAAAAAATATACATGCAATACTGCACAATAGCTGTGCTTTATTTTAACTGAGCTATGCCTTTGGCAAGCTATTAACAGGCATTACACTGTGCCTTGTCTTTTTCTTTTTTAGTGTAGTGGAGCCTCACTGTCTACTGGAGGGCGGGGGGAGTCTCGCTGCGGGGCAACTGTGGACCTCTGTCGCCTGTCAGCGCAACTTACATGATGCCGTTTAAAAAAAGATTAAGAGCGGTGCCGGCC